ATTCAACTGGAAATGCAATCGCAAGAAGTTCCCGAATTTTGTTAACATCTAGCAAACCAGATTCCACTAACTTCGAGATCATTGACGCCTTCGCAGTTTGCAATTCCCTAACTACCGCTGCAGATTGGGCTAGCTTATCGTTTTCTTTTTGGTACTCGAATTTCTCGCGTTCGAGGAAATTCAAACTGACTTTGCACGTCCATGTAGATTGACGAGAAGTCCTTCCGTGGTGTGAGTCGCTTTTCCGTTGCCAGAAAGTGACGAGGATGCTACGACGAGTCAGCCTTGTGGCCGTGTCGTTGACCGCTTGCGACAGTGATCTTTCTCGCGGGCGGAGTATGGTGGTCGTGCGGGTTGCCAGTCCAAGGCTGTTTGCCTGGCGCAGAGCAGGGGGCATCGGGTGCATGCACGTTGATGTCAGCCAACGGACCCGTCGCTTGCGCTGCATAGTGGCCAGAGTCATGGGCGTCATTGTCGGCCCAATACTCGTCATTGTCGGGGTCGTCGGGATCGTTATCCATTCGTGGTTCGGTGTCGTCAACAGCCTCGGTGTTGCTATTGGGCTTGTAATCGGACACAAAGGACTCATCAAAATCACCAGGCTCGTCAACTATATTAAATCGTCGTACTTTGATTATGTATTTCACTGCTAAAATATTCAAGTAATTTACCGTAGTCATTGCTCGTTTCTAACACAAAGGAAGGTCGAAAGTTCTGGCGCTCGCCAAAAAGCCATTCATGTCGTTGTAGTACGGACAATACTCTCCAACTTGCTTTCAATCGTAAAGATTTCTACAGAATGAGTGAGATTCATCTTCAAATTATGTTCTACTTCGCTTGTAGTCCTTCTGAGTAAGACCTCGACCGCTGTTGTTTGGACCGCACCAACGAAGTGCTTTCTTGTACGATGAGACGTACGCATCGTATCTATAGTGTGTGTGACAATGATGACATTGATCTATTCGTGTACCTGGACTTTGCGTCCTGCGTTGTCCACGTTCGTGTGCTGTCGCGAACGATCATGTTCACGTATTCGGCCATCAGGGCATGGCCGTGGGCTTTCGTGAGTCTCTGCCCACCTTTCGCCGACTTTCCTTTGCTGGCCTGGCCAGTCATCAACGCAAAGTTGTGCGGAATGCGTAAGAACTCAAGCATGGCAAGGCGCTCAGCACGCGACGTGCCCCGCTTTGCACGGTCGTCGCACTCGAGCTCCATCGTAAGTGAGCGATATGTGTGCCAGTAGTTTCGAGCAATTTGGTTGGATGTTCAGTTATCCAAGTTCAACTTGCTTTTGGTTTTCGTGGAAACGAAAATCAAACTTGCAAACGAAAAGCAGATCAGATTTCCAAATTGACTCTCCCTATTTTGTATTTTTATTAGCTTCCACGAAAAGCAATGTGGAGTCAATTTGGCCCTCGAAAGTCATTCGTACAGTGTGAGATAACACTGTATTCGCATTCAAAAGAGGGGTGAAAAGTAGAATCGAAAATGAAAATTGATTTTTCTTCCTAATTTGACTCCCCTTAATATATAAAAAGCATGTATTTATCGAACGGGATTAAGTTGGAACTACCTTGGAGCGCGTCCATATTTAGCATACAAAAGAAGGGGGAGTCAATTTGCCCACAGCTTGTTGGCCTGATTTACACTGTATATGAGGAAGTGATATGATAGTTACTGGTCGACTATACAGCAACAACCCAGCAATAATGCCCACTAGTTAAGTAAAACTCCACCACACCATTTCACCACGAGTAAAGCCCCACATCTAAAGTGTACTACTAGTATTCGTATACGTTCTAGCCATGTATGTCCATGTGCAGCCATTTCGAATGCTCTATGTAAATAGAATTCGATTGCTTAGCATTGGTTTCTTGCAGTACGCTGTCTACACACTGGTGGTGATGGTGGGTATGCCGGTGAACAATATGCCAAACGATGAATGCATCCATGTTGAAACGTCAAGATTTGCTTATTTTTTTTCGAAAAAGTCCATGAGGTTGCTCTGTTTCGCCGACCCGGAGGCTTTGACCACGCGTTTCTTTTTGGGCGGGGGCGCCGGCAGTTTTCCACTCGATGGACCGGCTTGAGGCGACGTTGGTGGCAGGTCGTCGTCGTCCTCCATGTCTTCGTACGTGGTCTCGGTCACCATGTACCCTTGCTTGTTGATGCGGGTCGTGGAGACTTCTTTTTGCTGCTTCTGGGGCGGGGGGCGATGGATTGGTTTGTCCTTATTGGCCACCTCGTTTGGCTGCGACGACAGTACGGGCGCTGGTGGTGCTAGATGCGACACCGTTTCTAGGCTGGTTGTGACCGGCTTGGAATCCGTGGGGGGGGGCTCACGGGTGGCAGCAGCACCTGCTGGACTGGCTTGGACGTGGGCATAAACTCGGCCTCCTCGTCGTCGTCGTCGCTGTCGTCGCACACTCGAAGGCGTTTGTGGTGCGACGCTTTCTTGACAATTCGAGGGGTCTCCTCAAGCGGAGATGCATGCGCAACTGTTCAGTCCTGTCTGGAGAGGTCATCCTTTCCCGGGGTGATAAACGGGAGGGTCACTCGGTTACCCGCAGAACATACTTGGTCCCGTCCGAGGTCAACGAGAGAATGCAACTTCCGGAGGAGATTGACTCCCAAGATGCACAGGGTGACTGAGGCTTCCAGAACCCAGACAGAGAACGTTGTAGATATACCGGTCAAGGTAACGCTGCAGTGTCGAAACCCCAGAATCGAAATGCCGGCGTTCGCAGCTGAAACTAGACGGTACGACGGGGTACGGCCCAGGAGCATCCAAAATTCCTGGCTAATGACCGTAACCGATGCGCCCGTGTCTACCAAAGCTTGTGTGCTATGCCCATCGATGGTGGCCAGTACAGGTGGTGCCAGGGATTCGGTCATGACGCCACACAACGGATACGGATCGCGGGTCCGGGAGTGAAGGAGGGCCGTGAACCCGGACTCGTCAAGGCCCTGGAACGGCCAATACATGGACCGAACAGTCTCCCGTACCTCCAAAACCGCTACTTCAAGACGTGTAGAGTCCTCCCCGACCCTCGGGTCGTGTCGCCTGTCCGGAGCCTCGGTTTCGTGCAGGAGTGGGGGATGCCTGGGTCGATCACGGCACTCCCAGAGTCGAGTCCTTCGGTTGCGGACTCAAGGTAACGTCGCCGAGAGGTCAGAGTTCGACTACGTACCTTCCAGATGCGTGAGTGCAGTCGGGTCGCTTCTAAGTCCCGGAGGGGTAGCGTCAGTTGTACCCCGAGGTCCGGTAGATAGAACGTAACCGCACCCTCCATTGAGACCCTTTTCTTTAGGCGAGTCCGACCGTCTGCAGAGGGGGCGAGGAGTCCGATAGCCGCCAGGAATCCCTAGGCGGTCGCCTGGAGGTCTGGAGAAGGGCCAATACCAGCGAGCTCTGCCGCTCCAAAACCGTTCCGGAACATCCGAGACCACCGAGTGTCAGCCACCATGGCCACTCGTTCCTGCTCAAAGTTCCGATTTGCAGTGCGGGCCACTTCGCACGTGTTAAGGGTTGTCGAGAACCAGTCCAACCACCTTTCAGGGTCGTCGATATCCACCGGGGAGTCGAATAGTATATTATCGGCCTCCGTCAGCGACCGTTTGAGCGCCGTAGTCACCACCCGGGCGATGTCGGCATGGTTACGTCCTTTCGTTGTGGGCGAAGCGCCTTCAAAGTGAATACCGGGGTGATATCCGAGTCCGGACGGAGGTCATCCAGTTTTGAATTCCCAGTCCGGGTGCTCCCGACGGTTACAGCACTAATATTCCCGGCCCCCGAACACGCCATAATCGGGTCCGGTCTACCTAGCAACGGGTTCGTGAGTCTCGAGAAGGGGCTCCTGGCTCCCGAGCGTCACTTGTCTCTTCCGGGAAGGTGGCCAATGTGCCCCGAACCCGCGGCTGGGTCCGGGACTGGACGGAGGCGGCACCCTGATGTGCCAGAGAATCTCCGTCAGGCGACGCACTAGCGTCGCGGGTGTTCGGTTTAGTTTGTCGACACGAACTTTCTTCGTTTGAGGGTTCTACATGCATGCCCTTCTTTTTATCGCAGGGTTCTGAACACATCCCCTTCTCTTCCTTGTCCTCGCTCCCGTCCGTTTTTCGACGCGAGTCATCCCCGGCGCTGGGTCCTGTGTACAATATACGCCCGTGGTCCCGGAGGTCTCTTCAATTGTCTTCATGTTCTTTTCTTCATTGCAGGGTTCTGTGTACATCCCCTTCTATTCCTTGTCTTCGCTCCCTTCCGTTTGTCGACGCGAGTCATCCCCGGCGCTGGGTCCTGTGTATATGCCCGTGGTCCTGGAGGTCTCTTTAATTGTCTCGTCTCTTCCAGATGCCTCATCGCAGCCTCTTCCTACGTCTGTCTGTTACCGTAAGGTCTCCTTCGTTCCCGGACCTCCAATCGACTCGCCTTCTTCTGTGCTCACGGTGCTGTCTTCCAGGAGAGGTACGGGGCGCGGTCGCGCACCGGCCCGTGCCTCTCGTCGAAGGGAGGTAGCATTGTGGCTTCTGTCTGTAACTTGTCTTCAGAGCGCTCCTGTATCCCGCCCTCTTGTTGCATGTCCTTGTACGCAGAGCTCGGGACTCCCTTCGTTTGCGGGGGTTGACTCGCCCTGTCATTCTTCGTATCGTCGCCCAGCCCCGGAGCAGTCCTGGGTTCGATTGTCGCCGCGTCCCGTACCACCCCGGGGAGGTATCTTCCATCGTGTTTGAGTCCTGGGATCCTTCTTCATCCTCCGAAGAGGGCGAGGATATCCCAGGGCTACGTGTACTTTGTTTGTTATCATCTTCGGAGGTCATTTGCATTCTCGCGGCCAGTGCCACGCCACACCCGGCGGCATGGTTCCGACCGCTGAATCCTCATTGTTTATCGGAGTCGGGGCTGCCTTCCGTGGATGCTTGTTCTCCGACATATACCAGGATTGCAGTGCAGGCATGACGTGGGCCGGCATAGTGCTCTGCTTGGACGCGTTCAACGGACAACCCTAGCTCAAATGGCCCATCTTACCACATATGTAACAGAATGCATTTCCTCCTCGTCCTCCGGGTCCTGATCGTCCTCCGGGCCCCGTTCGGGTTTGTCCCGGACCCCGACCTACGTTGTCTCGGGACAGCCTGCACTCCGATAGTCCGTGACCTTTGGAGCGGCACCGAGTGCAGAACCACGACAACTGAGGACACTGTTCACGAGAGTGGCCCCGCATTGTACATCTCCCGCTAATGACCTCACCCGACTTAGTTTCGTCGTCCGGATCCATGTAGATATGGGGCTGTACCGGGTTGTTTCCTGCCGGGTTGTCCGTAGAGATCATGGCGACGACATCTTGGATGGAGGAAAACTGGTCGTTGTTAGAGGTAGTCAAGCTCGTCATTTCCCGTTGAAGTCGTGAGATGGAGGACTGGAGCTCCTGGAGATTTCCATTGGGCGTCGAAGAGGACTGAGTCCGGGACGTGTTCCGAGCGGACCTAGTCGGCGTCGACGGAGCAACCGGTGTCATCTGGGGGGCCGATCGGGAACCATCCGTTCGTCTGTCGATGTCCACATCTCGCTCAATCAGGTAGTCCAGGCTGATTTCGATAGTCTCAGGGCGAACAGAGGCTCCCCGGAGGCACGCGGCCACTTCCGCATCGCTACATCCATTGATTATCATAACCACGGCCCTATTCGCCTGCAACCCAGCATCCCAGGAGGCGTCCGCGATCCGCCGTGCATACTCCCGGACGGTTTCCGTAGACTTCCGGTGGGGGTTATCAGTAATCACCACCATCTTTCGACTCAGTGTCTTCTGAATGAAATCCTTCTGGAAAGCCTCCCGAGCCTCCACCCAGGAGACGGGTTCGCTGTCACAGCACCGTCGAGCCCACCAGTCCTGGAAGGAAAGTACCCCACAGGATGTCAGGCGGTCATCGAAGATTCGAACGACCTGGGTGTCGTTGAGCTCGTACTTCTTCTGGATGATATTGAACTTCGCCAGAAAATGTTCCAAAGGGATGGTCCGGTCGACACTATCGAACTTGAGCGCGTACTTCCGATCATCGGCCTGACGTGAAGCCGAACGGGGCTCCAGGGGTGCGTTAGGCTGTCCGGGACCAGTGCCGTCTCCTCCGGGTCCACCTCCCGGAGGGCCAGGAGGACCACCGTAGTTTCTCGGCTGGTTGTGGCGGTAATCGTGACCGGCTTGGAATCCGTGGGGGGCTCACCTGCTGGACTTGCTTGGACTTGATTTTTGGTGGAAGAGGACGTGCTTTGGTCACGGGTTCGACTTTGGCGGCGTCGCCACCAAAAAATGGCGTCGATTGCTTCTTCGTCGGGGCCTTGGATGATGCTGAGCTTGAGCACGGCCGAGTAAACGGTGTGCTCTTTGTCGTGCCGGTGGATTTGAAGTTGGAGTAGACTTTATAGTATTAAACAAAAATAGATATTAATAAAGACCATATGGACGGACTGCACGTCCTTGTCTTGAGTAAGTATCTGTGCCATGGCATCCTGGCCTTCCTGTAGGGAGCATCCCGTGGAGCAGCAGATGCGCACTAAGTGCGGTGCTTCATTCCTGTCAGGCGCCTCATGGATGTATTCCACCAACGCCGCTGCCATCGTTTTGTACTGCCGCCAAGAATGAAAATGATCCGGATACGCCTACAGTAGTACAATGTACAATATTGTACCATACATTGCACTCGTACAATCTGTACACTATTAATAGGAAACATTTTCGGACTACAAGAGAAACGTCGAGATATTTTGAACTTTGTCACTGTCAGTTATTAAACCTTACGATCAGTAGATGGGTCAATGAGCAGCAGATCAAGTAAATTGGAAATAACCCATGCGACTTCCAATTAATCTCACCACTTGATTAGAGTTCGACTAACTGACGAACTACTCGATCTCCGACATGATGTAGTATCACAATTTTACCCACTCATACTATTCGGAATTTTCCTACTACCTGATTCTTCGTACATTGTACTGACACGTTACCAAGTCCACAACTTTCTTCAGCCGTCTCACATCGTTTTCGGAGGTGAATCGATCCTGTTCGTACCCAAAACGTGTGCAAGTTGATTTCATGGTGACATATACGAAGCTGGTGTGCAAGCACATTGAATTTAACATGAGTTCGTACTGTAATCGCTGCGGTATCCCTCCACAAGTAAGTATTGACCGAAATATTACGTTATATGATAAAATCTTTGAGATCCCATAGATGAGTACATTTTATGTAAAGGCTAAGAGAAAGTTTCGCCAAAAATGTACTTATTAAGGAGATTCGATTAAAACCTGCATTAAAAACACAAAGTAGGTTATACATGTATCCACATCATCGAGGTTGGCGCCCAAATCTGCACCTTTGGGGGGAATCAGCTTGTTGCAATTCACTTCCCCTCACTTTCCATTTCGCCAGACATGCATGTGAACACCAACGCCGTACTCAACCGTCTCCAAGACCAAGCAGTGCGAGATCAATCCTACCTTGAGTCATGCCTGCATGACTTTGGTGAGGTCTCGCACTTGCGTGACGACTGCGAGGACCCCCCCGAAAACCCAATGATGGACAAGTTCTTGATCGACTTGGGCTCTGAGGGTATTAGATCTATGACCAAGTTTACCGTCACCGAGTTCGAGTCGCTGTGGGCGACGGTGGACGATGCTATGAACACTGCATGAATGGAAGGTCGTGGCCGGCGCTCAACGACTAGCCCCAAGGACGCGCTATTTATGGCCCTCACCGTGTTGAAACACTTTTTAACATGGGAAAAACACGCAGCTGACTTTGGGTACAAGGCACCAACCTTCGAGAAGCTCATCATGCGCGTCCTACACGCTTTTCAGCCTGTGCTCTACGGCGAGTTGATTCGAGTTCCATCCATGTCCGACATGTCCAACTCGGATCGACGATTTGACCATTTTCCGTACGCGTTGTATACAGTCGACGTGAAGTTTCAGCCAGCACAGCGTCCAACGGGACGCTTCGCGGAGCAGAAACATTTCTTCAGCGGGAAGCACCATCTATATGATTACAAGATCGAGGCAAGCGTGTCACCGGAAGTCCGATGTGTCCCAGGATCTGTGCATGACCAGACGATATTGCACACCCGCACTGCCATTCACGCGACCAACCTGTTGAAGTCGGCGGGTGAGCAGGATGTGCCAGACTATGGTGAGTTGAGTACGCAGTACCGGGGGTCGTGGGCGTGTTTGGTCGACATGGGCTACATCGGAATTGCCCACTCGCTGCGGGGTATTCATCCGAAGCGTCGCCCGGTGCACGGCGTATTGGATGCCCATGACATGGATCGAAACCACGACATCTCCTCCGATCGGGTGGTTGTGGAGAACTTTTTCGGTCGCGTGTGCTCTCTCTGAAAGATTTCCTTGGCTACGTCTTCCACCTCTCGTTGATGCCATTGCGCGCGGAGGACGAAGGGTTTTACAGGTCTGTAAATGCTCGTTACGAGCAGATGGCGAATGAGAAGAAGCGCAAGCGCAGTGAAGCTCAACGCCGCTATCGTTTGAATCGCCAAGAGCGATTGTCCATTGACAGCAACCGCGCTACACGCTATCTGTCGCCATCGATGAATCGTTCGAACAATCGTTCGAACAGCAACTATTAGATGATGGATGAATACTATTAATAAAACGTGTTTGCTGATCGATTTGATTTGGTTCCATTGGATTTAAATGATCGGCTACTGCAATTTTGATCAGTAACCTAGTCTCTTTCGAAGTAGCTGAGTTCGTGATTGAAATAGATATATCTAATTAGTAGCAAAGTGCATGCATATTTTGACATTTACTGACGAATTAAAAAACTACTTCGGAAGCACTACAGTCCAATTGTATTGATATCAGAAATATTGGAAGTTAGTCAGCTGCTGGTTTAAAGATCTATTGTCAATCGAATGTTCGAATGTCTTAGGAGAATCGATTAAAGAACCGCCTGAGCCAATCAAATCACATCATGTCGAATTTTTGCCAATCCAAACGTTTGACCCTTCGCATTGGGCAAAACCACATGTATACTAATCGTAGTGTAGTATAGTGTGTACAAGCTTAATATGATGAAATAAATTCGACAGCAATTTGGCGAAATCACTCCTCAACTCCAAATTTGGGTGAAATGCACAATATCGATATGGTCGATTGACTGTGAATGGAGCTCAAAATCAGCAAATTACAGACCCGTCACATCGTAAACGCATTGGATGATCTCAAGGATCTAGGCTAGTTAGTTAAACAAAGCTCGTGTTCCCGCTACCATCGGATAATTATCACGATTGTCTATATGCGTGTGGTGTCTTGTTGCAACGACGCCTGCAACAAGCCCGTGAGGTATTGCCGCCAAGGCACTAAATCGTCATTTCCCCGTCGGACGAATTCGCGCCGCACGTAGGCATCCTTGTCGTCGTCGTCAATGCCCGTCACATCGATGCCCACCAACACCGCGAGCTCGGCCATACTCAGAAACCCGTCGTGGGCTCGAAATTCGTGCGACAAATGACTGACATGGCACATTAAGATATGGGTGGGCGATACCGGCCGCACCTCTATCCTACATACGTCCGTATATGGAATCACAAACTCGAGACTACTCATTCACTCACCACGACCGGTAGTGCCGCTGTCTGAGCATCGGGCCACATGCATGCATTTCGTCATCGTCGACTTGCCGCATGACCATGATGAACCGGTCTGCTTCGAAGAAGTGCCCTTGGAGTGAGTTCACGAACGCGCCACCGGTCGTAATTGAGTGAAACAATCGCGTGTTGGATGTGCGCTCTTCGATCACCTAATAAAAAGTCAGTGCGACACGAAACATAAACAGTGTCACTTGCGTCTTGGGGGCCCTTGAAAAGCATGTCACGCATACGATTGGATTTGACGAATCGTCGAAAGGACGCCAGCGTTCCTGGAAATATGCACTGTATCCGCTCCATGAACAGATCGTCGTGTTGGTCTGACACTTGCAAG